CCCTTCCATAACATTTAAAACTTTAATTGTGCCTTCATTGTAAACCCTTCCAAAGAAATAGCTAGTTGCCTAAACATTACCATACTAACTCTCTCACTCTCTCTCTCGCTCTCTCTCTCTCTCTCTCTCTCTCTCTCTCTCTGTCTCTCTCTCACTCCCTTTGAAAATTTCTCAAGCCTTTCTTATGGAAATTCGAAGCCAACTCAAACCCTTCGTAAGCCACACACTTGAAACCCCAACTTTCAGCTTTAGCCTTTGCTCAATCACCTTCCGCACTCAACACCTGTGTAAGCCCCTGAAAATCCACTCAAATTAGTCGTAAAATCTATCGAGCAAACAATATTCATATTTGTTGCATATATAGTCCACACACAATGCAAGCGCGACTAACCTTTCGAGCTAATGAGCCGCACTTTTGGGGGTCGCGGGGCACAATGGACGCAATTTACATAGAACTCACATCCACATCATGTGGCTGGGCCCATCTACATGGCTGATATTTATCATTTTCAATAAGCCGCAGCGCATTGCTGCCATATCTACTGTGACAATCTGGCAGCGAGTTTTGATCGTGTGGCATAAATCACGAGCGGGGCCAACCGAAACCAGTTTCTGTTTCTGTTTCTGTCTCTGTCTCTGTCTCTATTTCTATCTCTGTTTCTGTTGCTCTGATCTAGCGCAAAAGATCTAGGCGCATAAATTCAAATTAGATAAAAATAAACTTTTACCAAGCAGGTGATTTAGTACTTCAACCAAAATATAACAGCAAACGCAGGTGTTTCGCTGCAAACTCAAAAAAAAGAAAAAGAATAAGACACAAAGAGAAACAAGTTTTCCAGATTTATTCTCAAGTCTCAAGTTTTTTTTTTCCTATGACTGCGACTTGACATATTTGCCTGCTAATTTCTTGTTATTTATGCGGCCGTTGCGCATTTGCTGTGCTGTACAGCCCCAAGCGAGACCCCCTACCCCCATCCCTGCTCCAAGTCGTGGGCAAACAATGGAGAGCTTAGCACTTGCCGCGGCTGCTGCTGGGCGGCCCCACAACTCGCCAGAGTTGAGCCTATTTTTTGTCTGACAAAATGACAATTACATGTGAGGAATTTCAACAAAAATACAAAACAAAAACAACAACAAAATACAGAAAAATATTATTAAAATAAATATTTGTGTGCTAAACAAATTGCCTGTCGAGACTTAGGATAAATGTGTTTCCATGTCTGTGGGTGAATTACAAACAACAAAATACGAAATATAAAATTGCTGTTATTGATACAGCTGACAAATGTGGCTAGATGCGAATTGATTTCAATTGGAACAAGTAAGAAAGCTCTAGTCGAGACTGCTCGACTACGAGATCCCCTGAACCCTTGGAGCAATAGATATTTCAATACTTTTTCGCGACTTTCAGCTTACACAAGAAACACGCACACACACACACACACACACGCACGTACGCACACACAGGCATACATACACACACACGCATACAGACACACATACACACACACACGCATACATACACAAACGCATACACACACACACATACACACACAAGCAACCATGCATAAACACGCATGGGCTGCAGTGTGCGCTTACTATGAGAACTTAATTGTTTAATAACTTTTTTTATGGACGTACGATCTTCATGAAACTTTTAGATTATGATTATAACATGAATATGCATGTAATTGCCAAAGCACAAGTCTCTAGTATTTGAAATACGCTTTTTACAAAAGTGAGGGTGGGGGGTGAATTTAGAGGTGGGGGGTAAATTTTAACAAAAACCGAAATTGTATAAATTGCATATAAGCATACATTAAAAATTTGGAGACTCTAGCAATAAAGGTATAGAAGATATAATTTTATAACTGGGTTTCGATAAGGTTTTTTATCGATAAAAAAAGATCGAGATGAGTTATCGATTTTTAATGATAAACTTGATATGCGCGCTGTAATTACGGACATTTTAAAAAAAATTTGAAGTCTCTAGCTCTTATATCTTCTGAAATCGACGCGTTCATACATACGGACAGACGGACAGACGGACAGACAGACGGACAGGGCCAAATCAACTCAGCTCGTCACCCTGATCAAGAATATATATACTTTGTGGGGTCTGCCACGCCTCCTTCTGCCTGTTACATACATTTCAACAAAACCATTATACCCTGATTTCCCATTGAAAATGGGTTCAGGGTATAAAAATACTAAAGGTTAACTTTGCTGCTGAAAGTTGGGAATTTCAATTCCCAGAACTTTTGGCAAATGCGCAAGAAATAAATTGAAATATACAGTAACAACAGGTCTTTGAATATAATTTAAATAAATTGATAAATTAAAATAAAAGCAAAATAAAACTTAAATTATTATTATTTCTCTTTAAATATAATTGTGTTTATAAATGTTTTAAAACTGCGATAAATGAGATGAAAATCATCTCTACTGAATATATCAAATTTTAAGCTATTTCCTTTTGAATAATTAATTTTAATTTGTAAAAAAAATATTTAAAAAATTAATAAAAATTAAGTTATAATAATATCAAACTAATTAAACAGAAAAAGATATTGAAAAAAAATTATTAAAATAAAAATCATTTACAATTTTTTTTTTAAGTATTAAGAAAAACATGGAATTTCAAATACAAAAATGCTTCAAGCAACAATAACCCACAGCAAACCTTAAAAAAAAAAAAAAAAAAACAGTTTAATTGTTATTCATTGCAAACTGCAAATATATATAATATTAAAATATAAAAAAGACTCAAAATATACATATTTAAAAAAAAAAAAAATTATATAAAATATTGTAAATGAAAAAATATAGAAAAATTAAAATATTAAGTTTAGTATTAATATTTATTATATAGTATTGAGTATTTAATTTCATCAATGAATAAATAAAAAATATAAATGAAAAAATATAGAAAATTTAAAATATTAAGTTCAGTTTAATATTAATATTTATTATATAGTATTGAGTATTTAATTTCATCAACTTAATCCATTGCAAAGCAACTGAAGTTGAACTGAAATTGTTTTTTTCCTTTTTTTTTTTTTTTTTTTTTTAATTCAAATAAATTTCCAGCTTTATTTAGTTAAGTTACTATTATTAAACCCATTTATGAGCTGCATCCAATGAACTTGCCCAGTTCGTAGTTTCGTAGTTTCCTCATATGTAATTTATTCAATTGCCAACCTCATTTCGGCTGCCCGCCCACACACACACACACAGAGCTGTGGCACCTTCGGCCAAATACCAAGATAAACAACTCAATGGCAGCTCTTTGTGCAGTTGCGGCGACTGCAGATAAAAGTCGCATGTGAAAATTCACACTGTCATCACAACAACAACAACAACAACCGCAACAACAACAACAGCGACAGTAACAACAACAGCAAGTTAAGTTAAGGCCTTAGGCCAGACCAGGCCAGGGCTGGGCTTTGGGAATTGGCTGGGATGGCACTTCATTAAATAGACGCCGCGGCGCTTTTCGAGCCCAGCCACGCCCCCAGCATTACCCGCATGGAGGGCGGCGAAGAGGGGGTACCACTCAAGCGGCTGCTTATTTTTCACACATGCTCGTCGGGGAAAAACAACTGCAGAAAAAAAAGGTCAAAGAAAATAAAGAAAATGCCAACAGCAAAACGAGGCAGAAATTTAAGCAACAAAATTTTGTTGTTGTTGTTGTTTTTTTTTCTCGTGCTCTGTTGTTTATGATGACAATTTTTTGTCGCTTTCGACGACGAGGACGTCGACATGTGGCCATAAAGTTGTCGGTAAATAACAAACAGGCGGCGACAAACGCACAACGGCGGGAGGCGTGGCAGCCGCCCACAAGGCATGCCACAAAATGGAAGGAAGAGAAAAAGAGAGAGTGCAAAAAGAAACAAAAAACATTGAGGAAATAAAAGGCAGGCGTCAAATTTTGCACAGGATGTTTGAGCGCTGGATCTGGATCCTTGACTGGCCAAAAAACAAAAAACAAAAAAAAAATTAAATAAATGAAAAAGTATCTCACGGATTGCAGCCAAAGTATCTGCGCTCGCAAACATGTTGCATGCATTTCCGCTGGCCAAAAAAAAAAAAAAAAAAAAAAAAAAAAAAAAGAAGAAAACAAGGAAACTGTTATTTCAACTCAATTTCGTAATATCTTTCAGCTGTGCCACGAAATTATGCCCAATCGAGCGCAACATTTGCGCATTATGCAAATTGTTTTTGCATCCAAATTTAAATGTCTGAGCTAAGCTTAACAAAAAAAAAGAAAAAAGATGCAAATACAAAGACAGAGAAAGATACAGATATATATATTTATATACATACATACATATATAGTCGTATATATTAAAATTGTTGTACTTTGCGCTAATTTTGCATTTTGCTGAAACCTGTTTTTGTTGTATGACCTTGAAATGTTGCTAATGTGCGACCATAATTAAGGATTAGTCATGCTGGCTTCAGGTGGATTTATGATTGAAATGCGTTATAAGTTAATTGCCCTGTCTTTGCCTTGACTTGACAGCTTAGAGAGTTTATTCAATTTGCAAAATTGTAAACGACTTTAATGCTTGATAAAGTTTTGACTGGCTAAAGAATTTGAAGCAACTTTAATTGCAGACAAAGTTTGTATACTCATTCAGGAAAGTCAAATGGGTATATAAGGTTTGCGTAACTTTTTTTTTTTTTCATTATCCAGCAATTGTTGTTTAGCTGCAGTTTTCAAGTTCGGGCTCTTTATGAATCACAAATAATATTTTATATTAAATTTGTTTAAATATATATCAAAATTCATTTTATTATATACCTTTTTTTCAACATCTATAATTTTTACATTTGTCTTCCATTTATTTTATAAATTCATTGACTGTATTTATTTCCATATTTTATATACCATATACTTCTGCAAGTTCTCTCCCAGACATTCTGCATTAAATTCCCATTAAATTTTACTTGAAATAAAGCCTTAGCCAAAATAAAGTCAACCTCTGAACACTCACCCATAAAATTCGTGATGCTCAGCAACATGTGTATCCAGTCGTCGACTAATCCACACACAATTCGGTCTGTCTATAATCTGTAATGAAGAGCAAAACATATAAATTTAATATGCTGTCCCATAAATATCAACGCTGCACTTAAAAACAGAGCAAGAAAGAGAGGGAGAGAGACATTGAGAGAGACTAAATAAAAATAGCCAAAAATAATTCTAATTAAATACAGAAAAAAATAGGAAAATGGAAAATGTTTTGTCAGCTGTTACGATTTAAAGGATTGACAATGAAATTGAATACGCAACAAGAACTTGGACTAAGTGAAAATTAATAGCACACACACACACTCAACAAGAGGTAGAAGAAGAACATGATGATGATGCTGTATTTGTTGTTGTTGAAGAAATGCGTAAAACTTTCACTTGAAATTTGTTGAAACACGAAACTTGAAATGACTTTTTGAACTGTGAACCGAAAACAGAGAGTCGAGCCAAGTTGATGATTGAAGCTGAAATAGGATGAACTGCTGAGAAGCTGGAGCTGGAGCTGGAGCTGGAGTGGAGTGAAATGGCATCATAAATATAAATAATACACATATTTCGAAGTGTGTCGCCCTGTAACTAACACGCCTGTGGAGCTGGGGCTGCTGACGGGGCAGGGGCAGGAGGCCAGCTGCCTGCATGCCAAAGCAATTTGTGTGTGTGGCAGCATCGCCAGAGCGACAACATTTTGACACACTTAAGTGTTAGACAGCGCTCCGACAGCCAGCATCATCAGCAGCATCATCATCATCGTCATCATCATCATCATCTCTATGATCGTAGTACAAGTTGTCAGAGGGTCGCAGCGATAAATTTGGAAATTATGAACATATTTCTTCATTAGGTCGCAACAACCGATAATGGAGACTGAAGAGGCGTCCCAACAAACGCAGTCAAACGAGAGTGAAAGAAGAGCAGCAGCATCAGCAGCCGCTGCATCCGCAGCTTCCCTCTGCCCACACTCACTTTCATCTACACTGTGTGTGTGAAAAGCCTAACGCCTGGTGATATATTGGCGATATTACGCACTCTGGCTTTGGGATTATTTTCACATTTTTGCACGTGGGCGTCGATCGAAAGTTACGCCCTGAAAGCTCCACCATTTCAAGAATGCCACAAAACGTACACGCACACGCAAAGCAAGAGCTAACCGGACCGGACCGAACCGCACCGGGAGTCAAGTCCCATTGATGGAGCGGCGATTGTGGGGCATTTAAATTGAAATAACGTGATTTTTGTGGTCCGCTGGTCACAGGTCCGGCGCCTCTCTAACCAGTGGGCGGGGCTGAATGCCAGTGGCATAGATTTTTTCAAAACTATTCCGACTATTGTTTTGCGGTTTTGCGCAGATTTTGTTTGGGCTTTGCTTTGTGTGTGTGTGTGTATTTTTTACATTTCCATTTTTTTCGTAACTTTTTTCGGGCTTAAATGAATCGGAACGCACTTTTCACTCGCATTTTTTCGGGGGTCGTTATATGTGGGTGGGTGTGGCCATTATTCGGCCTTGTGTGCTTAGCTTTTCAGCGAGTTATGAGCTGTGGGGGCCAAGCTGACTGACATTGGCAATTGCTGGAGCTTTCTATTTTTAAATGTTTGAAAATATTAAAATATCAATGAAATGCTGCAGCTCCATTGCATGACAGCATTTTAATTAATTGTTTGTAATTTTTAAAAATAAATAAATTAAAAAAAAAAAAAAACTTTACAGTCTCTCCCCGACGGGGAATTGAACCCCGGTCTCCCGCGTGACAGGCGGGGATACTAACCACTATACTATCGAGGACGTTGAGCAGTGTTTGTCCAAAAGTCTATATGAAACGTTGCTGCTATCACCCAAGCAAATGAGCGTAGCATAGCAAGAACAACGTCATGCTTGAGTAACTTTTTGGTATGAAAGCTTACAAGTGTGAGTAGTTTGCCGTTTATTAATCACACGCAAATATTAACAAGTTGGGCGTATTTTATGCGACTATTTATAGCGACAAGCTTTTGCATAACTGTTTGGCGTTTGCTTTGTTCTTTTTCTTTTCTGTTTATTCTATTCATTATGCGATGTCATTGCTGAGTTTATGTTTATGAGCGATTCTCTTGCTTTGTCTCGCTTGCACAGCGGCAAAGCTCAAAGTAAAAATATTTTCGTGCTATGTTTGTGTGTGTGATGTCAGCTATTGTCTTTATTTAAATGGGTATATCAATAAATTTATAAATGAATAGTTTTTACTTCCGATTGCTGATGGCACCAACAATTTTATGGAATTTGAATAGCTTTGCCAATAAATGTGCACACATACACAAACATTATTGTGAATTTCATAGACAAGATTTAAATGCACAAATTGGATGCACCTTGGTTCTGTGTTCCACTTTAACAGCACTCAAAAGCTGTCAGCACGTCAAACTTTGTTGATAACAGCTCTTTGGAGACCTATTACAAAAACTATCAAACAACTGGCAACAAAGTGCCGCAGTCCCAAAACGATTTCTGAACCATTCAGACATAATGCATAAAGCATAAAGTAAAAAAAAAAAAAAAAAAAAATAGATACAGTAACAACAAAAAAGGCAAAAAGCTTTGCTTGTCTGCGCTTCACATGTGAATGTCGACTGCATTTGGGTATCTCACAGTCCAATTCACTCAGCATATCGCACTTGCGAGTGCGAGCAAGATAGCATCAGCAGTAGCGGCACGCGGCGACCGCAGAAACCGCAAGGTGCGTTTGTGCTGTTTGCTATTATTATTATACATATTATTGTTGTTGCAAAACACAATCCGCTGCCAAAGGATGAAGGGAGGAAAAAATCGTGCAAAATAACAAAACAAGAAAAAAACAACTGTAAATAAAAGAAACAATTACACAAACAATTCGATTGCAGCCGACGCTGCTGTCGCCGCTGGCAGCAAATACGCCACTCAACTGACACTCAGCTGGCAGCAGCAGCAGAGCAGCAGCTCTCCCTCTCTCTCTCTTGCGCTCGCACTCCCTTTTTGAGTGCAATCATGCAAATAAAACATTTTTTATATGCATGCCTTACTGAGTAAGCGCGTGTGTGTGTGTGTGGCGTGCTTGTCTGTGTGCGTGCAAAATTTTAACCCAAATATTTTGTAGACATGCAATATTTATGCTGCAACAGCAACAACAACAACAGCAGCAGCAACATCAACAGCCACAGTGCAAACAGGCGCAATTACAGCAATAACAATAACAGTCAGCAGACAGCAACAACAACAACAGCAATGTTTTTTGATGTAATGGACATTTGCTACTTTGCAAATGGGTTTCAATTTTTGTTTTGGGACAAAAACTGCAACTGACAAACCAACCAACCCCCGCCACACACAGCCGACTCTAGTGAGTCGGCCAGCTGTAGATTTGTGCATTGCATGTATTTTGCTGGCTGTTAATTTCCCTTAATGCAGCTGTCCCTCAAACACTCACTCACACTCTGTCCCACTCACTCCTGCTCAATCCACAATTTAAAAGCAGCAGCAGCAGCAGCACTGCAACACTGTAAAGCTTAAAAGTCTACATTGTCTCTTCCTCTCTGTCTCGCACTCTTCCGCTCTTTGTATTTCGCCCGCATTTAGCGCACATTTCTAATTTTCATAAACACATTAAAATGATAATTAAAAGGCATTTCTGTATTTTTCTTTCAACTGCTGCTGCTGCTGCTGCTACATTATTTATTTATTATATATGCAAATGCATTTAATTGCATGGACAGCATAGTAGCAACTTTTGGGCAAGGTGGCAAATGGGGGAGGGGCTACGTCAAACAATTTGCATATTTTAGCATGTAATGAAATTTGTAATAATTCTGCAATTAATTGCGTGCGTGTCCTTGTTTATGGCCACAGCAAAACCTACGTGGAACAGCAACAGCAGCAACAGTAACTAGAGCAACGGTAGGTGCTGTATGCTACGTGTGTGTGTGTGTGTGTGTGTGCGTAGTCTTCATGTGGGCACACAGCTGCGGCAGTCACTGCTCACACACACACGCACACACACGCACTCAGCTGCTTGCGGGCTTTGACAGCCTGCGAATTTTGCTTTTAAGTGAAAGCTTTTCATTATTATAATGTAACGGTAGTGATTACATCTGTGTTTGTGTGCGTGCGTGTGACATAACAAAGCGAGTTTGTTTGCAGCAATTGAATAATTGTAAAATAGCATTTGATTCTCTCTCTCTTTCTCTCTCTCTCTCTCTCTCTCTCTGTGCATACCCTGTAGAATTTGACAATGAATATTTTATTTAGATTCAATCTGCAGTTATTTCGCCTCAAGTATTTATTATTGATGCACAGAGAAAGCTTTTGTTTTGTTTACTTAGAGCCGAACTCTGGCCCAAGCATTTAACTTGTGAACTCGAATTGACAGTGTGCAAAATGCATTTAATTTTCATTTATTTTCATTTATCTGCTTTTTGCAAATTTGTTTCAAATGCTTGTTTACATTTATCTATTTGAGAGCTAAATATTTGTCTATACAAGATACTTTGTTTTTATTATTTTATTGTTATTATTGATGCTGGAACATCTGTGTTGTAAGCCTCGCTTTTGTTGCATGTTTTCTTTTCATTTGCAGCACAAATAACAAGGGAAATAAATATATAATTACATGAGTATATACATGTATGTATATATAAATATAATATAATAAAATAGTAATGCAGCCAAATGTTTGCTTGGAATATAACCATGAAACCAGTTTATAATATACATATGTATATATAAAATACATATACATATATATATGTATATATCTAACTGAATTTAGATTTCATCTAGAAATTGCAGCTTTTATCTTGTATCTAAATAGATATTTTGATTTTCATTTGGATGTCTCTGTGTGTGCGTTTGTTTTGATGTTTTTCAATTATGTAAGGGCACCAGGCATCAGTTGTTGCCATTTTCCCTTGATTTTCCCTTGATTTTCATTTGTTTTTCTCCGCTTTTTTTTCTGCCATTTGGCCGCTTCATTGCATTTGTCTCGACTCTGAACCCTCAAGGACAGACAATAGATTTCAAGGATGGTTTCCCTTTG